GGCTTTCCTTATATTTTAAATGTTATTTTATGTAATGTCTCTGATCATTTTGTTGTTGTTTCTGGGTTAATTCCATTTATTTATTTATTTTTTCATTTCGGCCTCCACAGGCACCCAAGCTTGCAGAGAAGTACTGTGTGTGTCATTTAGCTACTGGGGACATGCTGAGGGCCATGGTGGCATCTGGCTCAGAGCTCGGTCAGCGGCTTAAGGAAACCATGGATGCCGGCAAACTGGTAAAATAAATAGATGTTCTAGTTTTTATATATATTTTAATATTTGTTCCTCCCCAATGTGTATTTTTGGTTGGAGGGATAAAGTCCTGAATCTTTTGAAAGTTTTGTCATCTTTCCTTTAGGTGAGTGATGAGATGGTGGTGGAGCTCATTGAAAACAACCTGGACGCGCCTGCATGCAAGAATGGATTCCTGCTGGACGGTTTCCCCCGCACCGTCAAGCAAGCAGAAATGGTGAGGACTTCTGTAAACAACTGACCCTCCATATGTGTCTGTGATACATCTGTAATCTTTAATAATAAAAAGGGTGCAGAATCCTTTCTCGCCAAGTTCTGATCACAAGAATGCATCTGTCAACCTGTATCTCTCTCTTTCTCATTTCTAGCTGGACGGCCTTTTGGAGAAGCGTGATGAGAAACTGGACTCTGTGGTTGAATTCTCTGTTGATGACTCTCTGCTAGTGCGCAGGATCTGTGGGAGGTATAAAGATGGAGGGTCCTGTCAATTTAAAGCATTGTGTAGTAGCCCACTACCACTAATGCTTTCTATTAGCTCAGTTTAATTTAATGAATAAGGAATATACTGAAAAGATGTCGCTCATTTCTGGAATGAGAGAAGACACGTTTTTTAGGTAGGGCATAGTAGCTGTCAAACACTTTTGTTTCTGTTATCCTTAATGGAGGTGGTGGCAGGAAATTTTTCCTTGAGTGGTTTTGATCGCAGCTTAAAAAGTAAGTGTGCCTCCTTACTTCCTCCTTGCTTTTAATTGTAAAGCATGACAGTGAGACTCTTGTTTAAATTTAACAAACAGTAGTGGAGAAAATACACAAATCAAGTACTTGAGTAAAAGCACAATAACCTAATAATGTACTATTTCTTTAAAAGTATAAGTCCTCATTTTGTATGTATAATTTTTAGGTGAGCCATGTTTATTTATTCTAGCCTGCACTAGACCGGTTAGTCAGCACTAATAAAAGATTAGTGCAGACATTTATTATTTATTGATCTGCAAAAAAATGTATTAAAAAAAATACTATGCAGTATAAAAACATTACATTTAAATATACTAAAATATCAGTGTACAGTATACAAAAATATCAGTGTACAGTATACAAAATATCAGTGTCAGTTACACAAATGTATGGAGTGTGCAAACATGTAAAAGGATGCCATATAGTATTTGAAAAAATGTGGAAAAACTAAATTTGTGTAAATATGGCAATAAATAGTATAGAAATACAGTGTACAGACATCACATGTGGAAAAATGTGTTCACATTTTAAGAGGAACGCTATGCAAATATTTGAGTTTCATACCATTTGAAACTGCTACATCAGCGGGAAGATGCATGGGCATTATTAGCATTATTTTCCTTCATTTTCAGCAGCCGTTACTCCAGTCTTCAGTGTCTCATGATCCTTCAGAAATCATTCTAATATGCTGATTTGCTATTCAAGAAACCTTTCTTATTATTATTGCATTCAAGTCCACATTCAAGCATCTGAATAGGCTGTCATAACCTCTATATGATTTGAATTTACTCAGAGCGGGGGGCAATTTCTTCAGTTCAAGAGAATGAGGAATGATATGTTTTTTTATGAAATGCAGTAGAGTAAAAAAGTATGATTTTATGCTTGTTTGAAATGTAGTAAAGTAAAAGTTTCTCAAAATAAAAAGTACAGATACCTGAACATGTACTAAGGTACAGTAACAAAAT